TATATAATAATTATATAGTACTGGATATTCAAACCAAAAAAACACATAGATTTGTTTTCCTTTTGTAGATGGGATATTGAAACAATGTACAAACTCTCACACTACATGCAGATATGCTTTCTAGCTCTCTACAACTTTGTATATGAAAAGGTGTATCTTGTTCTCTATGTACATCTATATATATGTGTATATACATATATATATATATGTATGTGTATATATATATATATATATATATATATATCTATATATATATATATATATATATATATATATATATATATATATATATATATATATATATATATATATATATATAAACATACACACACACACACACACATAAAGTGTTGCATGCATGCAGTGGGCAGATTTATGCAATACATTTTTACAAGAGGCGAAGTGGTACTCGATAGATTATACACCAACACTCGAAGAATACATCGAGAATGGATTGATTTCGTCGTCCGTTCCTGTAATACTATCTCATGCGTTTTTTGTCGTGACGAATCCGATACACGATGAAGCCGTTAAAAGCTTGTACGAGCACAAATACCACAAGATAATTCAATGTCCATCAATGATTCTACGTCTTTCGAATGACCTAGCTACATCATCGGTAATTATATAGTACATATTATTAATTTAATCTCGTACAATACTTTAATAATAATTTTTTTTTGAAATTAACGACGTATACAAATTATTAGGATGAAATGAAACGAGGGGATGTGCCTAAGTCGGTCGAGTGTTACATGAACGAAAGTGGGGCGGATAGAGAAGTGGCGCAAGAGTACATAAGGTCTATTATATACGAGACGTGGAAAACAATGAATGAAGAGCGAGTAATTACGGATTCGCCATTCCAGGAAAATTTTGTGAGGAGTGCAGTTGAACTAGGGAGGATGGCACAGTATATGTACCAGCATGGAGATGGGTATGGAATGCATATTCCTGAGATGAAGGACCGTATTGCAAATTTGCTGTTTGACCCTTTTGTGTACACTATTTAATATATTTGCTATTTTCGTATTATTAATTTATTATTATGTCACTCATTTTGTATTTCACATGCATTTAGTCCTATATTAATAGGATTTTTATCCTCATAACAATTGTCGCAACGAATTTAGTCATCAAACTTGCCACTTTTTGATAGTTTTATTTGGGTGTCAAATTTTTCTGTTAAATTGAATTGAATCGTCACGTGCACCTCACGTGAGGTCGACTTGGCCCCCTACAAATAAGCTGGAACTAAACTTCTTCTACCTCACCGTTATCTCTTCTCTCTCCCAAATATTTAATGCCTAATTTCAGTTAGCGACGAAAAAAATGGTGACACTTCCGTCCGAGTTAGTTGGAAAATTTTACAGCCAACCGAAAATGTCAAAATATGGTAAGATTGAGAACTAATTTCGTGAATTTAAAAGTTTGAGGACTAAAATCGCATTTAGGTATAGGACAAAAAGTGTAAATATCCAACTATATTTAGTTATAACTTTTGGGTAATCTAAAAGGGGCATTCCGAGAATCGAACTCGGGACCTCTCGCACCCAAAGCGAGAATCATACCACTAGACCAAATGCCCATCTGTATTGAAGTTTGATTATTTCTGTTAACAATTTTTTATTTCCAAACTCACAAGTACATTATTATATTGAATTATTTATACTCTAGCTAGTTAAATAAAGTTTACACACAAAAGGGCTCAAACAACAAACTTATAATACGATCCTTCATCTCAGGAAATTGAATTCCATGCCCATCTCCATATTGGTACATATACTGTGCCATTCTCCCTAAGTCAACCGCACTTCTCACAAAATCTCGTTCGAATAATGGCGATTCCGTAATAACTCGTAATTCTTCGTTCATCTCTTTCCATGTCTCGTTTATCAAACACCTTACATAGTCTTGCGCCTCTTCTCTACCAGCTCCACTTTCATTCATGTAACACTCTATCGATTTCGGAACATCCCCTCGTTTCATCTCATCCTAATAATAATAATTAAGTCAAAGAATTTTTATTTTTTTCATAAAAATAAAAAAATATTAATTATCAGCATACACTAATTAGTATCATATTATTACGAACCGGTGATGTGCCAAGGTCGTTTGCAAGACGTAGAATCATTGCCGATAATCGAACTATGTTGTGGTATTCGTACAAGCTTCGAACGGCTTCCTTTTTTATTGGATTCGTCACGAGAAAAAATGCATGAGAGAGTATTACAGGAGCCGATATCGAAATCCATGCATTGTTTATGTATTCTTCGAGTGTTGGTGCGTACCCTTTCGAGTACCACTTCGCCTCTTGCATATAAGCCATGCATAAATCTGCCCACTGCAAAAATTAAATTTATATATAAATCAATAATCAAATATTTTAATTTTAACTAAAAATTAATGTAAGTCTAATTAATTACGGATTTTCTTAAATGTGGGACGACGAGAAATCCTTGTTGTTTGAGAACATGGTACGACAATTCGTCGACGAAGTTGTTGAGAGCTAGAAAACACATCTGCATATAGTGTGGGAGTTTGTCCATTCCTTCAATATCCCATCTGAAAAATGATAATAAACAAACATTTGAATTTTGAGTTTTATATATATATATATATATATATATATATATATTTTATTCTAGAAAGTTTTAAATAAATTTAATTAATTAATTATTCGGACCTTTGAATGACGTCATTGAAGATCTCTAGTTCTTCTAAAGTACCGTAAACATCGAATATATCATCGATTATCGTAATAAAGACATTGACCTTGGTTGCCATGATTCTTGAATATCCATATCGAGGCTCAAACAACCCACCGATGGTCCATAGGTAATTCTCGACCAACCTATCCCTCGCGAATGGCAATGTCTTAGCTAGCCCTATTTGCTCCCACCAACTATAATATATACAAATCAAAATTCAAAGTAATTACTATTTTTCGAACAAGTTAGTCGATCCAGATCGAAATAATTAACTTACGTACCTAGAGAGATGTTTGAGTTCTTGTTGATGTGTCGATTGAACAACGTTAAAGTCGAGTTTGGCAAGCTCGAGTAGAATAGGGTTCATGTGTTGACTTTTCTCGTAGACTTGTTCGATGAACCATCCTGCATTTGGCCGTTGAACCCTCCAATGAATTGGGAGCTCCAATGCATGACGAACCATTAATAATAAAGTATCGCCCTTGTCATCGTCAATTCGATCATCGTCGAGTTTTTTTCGCAGTAAGTTGGCAGAAAATTCTCTTGCGAGCTCCAATGTTTTCTCGCCACGTGTCATAAAAAAAGAAGCTTCATAAAGTTGCAACAGTCCTTTAGTACTATTAATATCGTCTCCAAGACTCGCCTTAAAAGAATCACCCGTCTCGTTCTTGAAAGTATCAAACACATCTGCGAAATGCAATCGGCGTTCGATGAGGTGGTCATTCAATACATAATACGATGTATGTATGTATGTATGTATGTATGTATGTATGTATGTATGCATGCATGTAGACATGGCCACGAGGCGGGTCGGGTCTCGGTCCAAACCGGGTTTTTAATTTCTTTTATCTATTTATTTACAAGAAAGAAAAAAAACTTACATTGAAACTTGAAAAAACATGAGATTAACATTGAATTCAAAATTAAAAAAATAATTGAATTTAAACACTAAACAATTTAAAAAAAAAAAACGAAACGATTAAGACCTTGACACATAACTAAATAAAATGAAAGTTGTGAATATTGAATTATGGGTATTTATAAGTGATCAAACTAATAATTGAGAAATTTTTCAAAATTTCAAAATTCAAAAAAAATCAAAATTAAATCTTTTTTTGTTATATTTTTCAAAATTAAATATATATGCATTTGTTATTAGTCGAGATTTTTGATATTAATAATAGTCAACTTGACAATTAATAATTTATAAAACATTAGTTATACAATTATTATAATGATTTACAGTGTTATTTATATTTATATATTTATAGTTAGGATTATTATAATTTATAACAAGGAATATATATAACATAAACAAAAGGCATAAAATGATTATAATAAATAATGTTAAAAGATTATTAAATTATCATATTCATTATTAAATAATTTTAATTAAATTATTAACAAATATTATATAATAAAAAAAATTGAAAGGACTTGAGCTTGATCCATTTAAATCTTACGATTCGATTCTAATATTTGAATAAAATGTAAATGTAAAAAAAAATTGATTAAATCATATGACCTACGATTTAATTCTTACGATTTTTACAAATAAAACCAATTATTAAAAGAGAAATCACATCATAATATTTTGATTATACTCGTAATATATAGTTTTATTTTTAAAGTAAGAAATTAATTAGAATGAGATATAATTTATTTTTGTTAAAATAAACATCATCTATATTTTTAAATAATTATCTTATGATAAAATAATCAATAATTTTAATAAGTTCTTGTCAACAATTGAGGTTAATCGATTTAAATTAATTGAAATGAGTTATAATCTATTTTTTTAAATATCTTATTTTATTTTTCATTCGAATTTTTCACACTGTCGATTTTAATAACATAAGTGAGTTTGTATTAAGTTAACGTGTTTGTTTGTATATTGAATTGATTCAATACTTTATATTTTTCAATAGTGGAGATTATATTGATATAATAATTAATAATAGATGTAATTTTGAGATATTGAACCCTGATTCTATATATTTATTTAAATGTTTCTTATATTGCGTTTGTTAATAATTTAATTAAAATTATTTAATAATAATTAATATGAAAATTAATAATTTATTTAACATATTTATCACTTTAATTTACACTAGCATTTTATATCATATATATTTATTGTCTACATTTAAACAAAAAAAAATATGTTGGTTGCCCGAGTGGTTGGAGTTGCCCAATTCTGCCCATTTTCCCGAGTTTGAATCTCCCCCGCACAATATTTGGACAAAAAAACCGGAAATACGGGTTGACCCAACGGGTCCTCGGATCCCCCGCCGAGTAGACCTGTCGGGTCCCGGGTCCAAATAATCGGGACCCGAAACCGATCCGTACTTGGTTGAGTCCGGGTCCGGGTTCATGGTCAACGGAGCGAGTCGGGGCAGTCTCCGGTCCGAGTCTGGGTCAAGCCCAGCCCGAGGCGTGTCTATATGTATATATGTATGTATAAACAACGTACCTTGGGAGACGCGAAAACCGTGTTGTCTGAAGAGTCGGAATGCAAGTGCCGCCGAGTACAAATTATCTCTTACATCATAATATTTGTTATTATTAAAAATATTGCCGTTAATGAGTTGATTATATAAATAATTCAAGATTTGGTTAATTTCATCCTCAAAATGATAAGAAATACCAAGCATGTACAAATTATCAATCAACTCCAATTTGTGAATTAATATTTGTTCATCCACTAATAACATCTTCTTCACTTGCTCCACCAACTCACTACCCCTCTTCAAATATCTCTCTTCCTATATATACATATATACACACACAAAAAAAGCATATATTAAAAATACTAATGAATTAATAAATATCAACATTGATATAAATTAAATATGTTCAATTACCTTGTATTTAGTGTTCAACGACTGAACGAAATCGAAACTCCAAACGGGAGGCTCGTAGTTTCCAGACCGTCGATTAACAATAGTAACTAATCGAGCTTGATCACAGTTATTAACCTGAGCATTGCATTGTAATGAACAAGGCCTAATTATAATTAAGCCATTACCAGCTGGATTAATAGAAGAGGCTGCAAAGAACAGTTTTGATTTTTTTTTGCTGTTAAAAAAAGAAAGAGATTTAATTGGATTATATTTAGGAATTTTGGGTGTGCAGATAATAAGAGTAGTAGACATTATAAATAATATGAATCAATGTTTTGCTTCTCTTCTTTTTTTTTTTTTTTATTTGTTGGGAAAAGAGGGACTTCTATTTATTTATAGATAATTTCGAAAATTCATAAATTTAATTTAATTTAATTTGTTTGCATGTCTGTGTCTTCATAAATAATTTCTTGCCCATACGCACAATAATAATTTATGTACTGTCTATTTGACAGTGGCGGACCTATGAAGGCAAGAAAAAAAAAATTAGCTATTTCGTAGTTGATTTATTTTTGAAATATTCTTGCCCCTCCAATTTTTTGGTAAATAGTATATTTCTTAACCTTTCAATATTTTGTTTCGTCACCATAATCTTATATAAATTATACACACGCATATATATATATATATATATATATATATATATATATATATATATATATATATATATATATATATATATCTCTATATGAATATATATATATATATATATATATATATATATATATATATATATAT